AAGTAGAACAATCCGGGAATGGTAAGACGCGATTGCCTTCCGACAAACGCGTCAGTTATCCGTCGTAAAAGATGATCGCCAAGTTTTTTCAACCCCAACGTAAACCCACGTTTCCAGAAACAATCGTAATTGCACGTGGCTCGTCCTTTGAAGGCTACATTCATCAACCGCACGTGCGTTTAAAGTAAAAAAAATAAAAAATAAAAAATAAAAATAAAAGAAAAAAAGGAACTCATTAGCACGATGAAAAAGAGATATCCCCGTCACACCTTTGTTGGAGCAACGTCAAAGTCCTCGAGCATGGTGAAACGCGTATAAGTATATTTTGCCTCACAATACAATATTTTCGATCGGAATATTCATGAGATTTTTTTTTTTTTTTTTCATTGCTTTCGTCTACGGCAGCAAGTGATTGATGAATCGCGAGGGTGTCGGTAATGTCGCCGACGCAGTGATTGCCGATTGGACGATAACCCCGCGGCGCTGGCTTCATTGTGTCATTGTTCCTCTTTTGAAAAGCGACGGGGAAGGCTTGTGGATCGAGTAATTGTGCGGATTTAGCTTTCGATGTGCGCGTGTCCTCGCTCGAAAAGATCTGATATACCTAATTACAGCGTAACAATGATCTTTTAACTTTCAAACCCGATTTTTTTTTTTTTTTTTTTTTTCATACCGATTTTTTTTAACACTGTCTTACTATACAACGTAATTCTATATGACTACAAATATTTTTAATCAGATGGCAAAAAAGGAGGATGGGTTTTTCATCCACGTGGATTACTTACTCAATTAAATGTAATGATCGGTACGTTCTTTTCGTACCGGCTACCATAATATATACTGGTATGCCTGTCGAATTGCCTACTAGCAGCAATGTTGTACTTTTAAAGATATTTGTTTTCATCATTAATTTGTAGTTGTTGAATTTGAAAGGGTTGCTTTGCCTAAAGCGATGTTTAAATTTGGTCTCACTCGTCACAGCGACGAACGTGGTATTCGTCAACATGCAAGCTCGGCTTAATGTTCTATGATTTTACACCACCATCAGTTGGTAATCGTCGATCGTTAGTATATATTATAATCGAAAATATTGATCGGCTTAATTTAATTCGAATGTTGCACGTGCATAAATTCTCCAGTTGTTACTTCGGAGATGAGGAGGTTGTCTTTGTCGTGGTCTGTGATCGGTAATAGATCGGTAAGGATGCAGGATTGATTTTTAGTCCTGTTCTACGGGAGGAACGGCAAAACACACACTGAAAAATCGTCATAAAAGCAACAGGGAAATTGATTCATTCCCCAACTCAAAGTGAAATAAAGAAAAAAATTGAACCAGTAAGGGCAGCGAAGATTACGAAGATCGTTTCCGGAGGTCAAAGTGCATTTTTTGTTGATAAATATAACTCTGTCGCGTGAGTGAAGTAGAAAAGTTGTTAAACGATTCAACATATATATAATACGTACGGGATAAGCGTGTGGATGGTGGTAGCTGCTCCTGTTTACCGCCGATGCCCCGAAATACCATCGGAATCACTATATGCGACCCTCGTCTTGCCGATTTTTCCCTTTTTTTTTTCCCCCCAACACCGGCAACTCGATACGCCAAAACAAGAAATCGCTCCGCCGGTCGTAGCTACTCGCGACCAACGAGGATGACGTTCGCCATCGTCGGGTCCCGCTCGATTCTTCGGGTTCTTATCTATCCCTGATGATGCGTGCACCGGAGTCGAATGTATATTACCATGAAACCAAGCACACCGAACGGCAACTCGTGTACGACACCGCACTTGATCGTTGGTTTCGCACGGGTCGAGGTATCACGCGGCACTCTGGATATGACCGGGGGATCACCGGACGCGTGTCTCACCTCTTCCAAAGTGACGAGGTAACCGCGAGCGTGTATCATACGGAGGCGCGTCGACGCGGCCACCTGTGGGCAATACTTATGCTTATACACGTATACGCACGCACATTCAAAACGAAAAGGGCCACTATAAAAGCGCAGTCGTGGATCGTATGGGTGCACATGTATATATATATATTATTACCACTTATTACGTTTAAAAAGGTGTGCGACCATACGGTCCAGGTGGTGATGGCTCGGCGAGTTTCCGCGGCTGTCTGACAAGCCGAGCTCTCGCGGCAGCATCGGTATGGTGTCTACCTCTACACCGACCGTATCTACTACCATCACCGCTGCCTCGACGTACACAGTGGGGGGGGGGGGAGCCTCACCTCCTCCCAGGTGGTGCACACCCAGGTATACACGTATACATGTACCTGTGACTATATGGGAATATATGTACATAATATTCATGGGAGCGTGTGGTATACTTTTGTGTGCATGAGGAAAAGGAGAAAGAGATTTTCCATAGCTGCGGCCTGAAGTGTAACGGCCCGGAATAGCGTGTGGTGAGTCCCAGCTGGGTGGGGAATCGGTAGGTGAATCGGAGTTGTCGCGGGCTATTTGTGACGGTCCGCGATTTTTTTTTTTTTTTTTTTTTCCATGCGACTCGCCGGATTTTAAGGTGATTCGAGTCATACGACCTTCTCCGTACATTATATATATTATGTGTGTATCAAATACTTATCCATACGCATAAGGAACAAATTTTTGATATCGGAATGCTGCCCAGCGAGTGTAGGTGTTTTCATTTCCGTTCTGTTCAATAGCCGATGTTGTTATAGTTTACGCGAGGTGGAAGGATGGGTGAAAAATCGGTTCCATGTACTTTTATGCGTATACAAACATCGGATACCGATTTACGTTTTTCAAAGATCGGTATGGCCATTTCGATCACATAATACCTGTAAATGTCGAAATCGATTTCCATTGAAAAACCACAGTAAGTTCTCGAGTAAAGATCTTTCGGAGATTCTTGATACGGACACATGATAAAAATTTCAACCCGAGCGTTTAACGTGAAAAATTCCGGCGTTGCACACACACATATATATATATATATATATATTTTCCTCAGTTGCATGCATTTCACGCTCCAATTGTCGATTTTACGCGAAATAATCATACGGGGTGTTTCCTCCCGTAATTAGAACTCGGAGTTTCTACGTCTCGATCCGATCGCGGGGTCTCCTCTTTCTACTCCTTCTTGCCGCTCTATTACCCTCGGAATAATTTCTTCTGATCTCCATCGCGCCGATTAGTTTCTTTTTTCTTTCTTTCCATAACGTTATATATCCTCTTATGAAAATTAAGTGCCATCCTGCAAAAAAAAAAAAAAATAAAAAATAAAAAATAAAAATAAAAGAAAAAAAGGAACTCATTAGCACGATGAAAAAGAGATATCCCCGTCACACCTTTGTTGGAGCAACGTCAAAGTCCTCGAGCATGGTGAAACGCGTATAAGTATATTTTGCCTCACAATACAATATTTTCGATCGGAATATTCATGAGATTTTTTTTTTTTTTTTTCATTGCTTTCGTCTACGGCAGCAAGTGATTGATGAATCGCGAGGGTGTCGGTAATGTCGCCGACGCAGTGATTGCCGATTGGACGATAACCCCGCGGCGCTGGCTTCATTGTGTCATTGTTCCTCTTTTGAAAAGCGACGGGGAAGGCTTGTGGATCGAGTAATTGTGCGGATTTAGCTTTCGATGTGCGCGTGTCCTCGCTCGAAAAGATCTGATATACCTAATTACAGCGTAACAATGATCTTTTAACTTTCAAACCCGATTTTTTTTTTTTTTTTTTTTTTCATACCGATTTTTTTTAACACTGTCTTACTATACAACGTAATTCTATATGACTACAAATATTTTTAATCAGATGGCAAAAAAGGAGGATGGGTTTTTCATCCACGTGGATTACTTACTCAATTAAATGTAATGATCGGTACGTTCTTTTCGTACCGGCTACCATAATATATACTGGTATGCCTGTCGAATTGCCTACTAGCAGCAATGTTGTACTTTTAAAGATATTTGTTTTCATCATTAATTTGTAGTTGTTGAATTTGAAAGGGTTGCTTTGCCTAAAGCGATGTTTAAATTTGGTCTCACTCGTCACAGCGACGAACGTGGTATTCGTCAACATGCAAGCTCGGCTTAATGTTCTATGATTTTACACCACCATCAGTTGGTAATCGTCGATCGTTAGTATATATTATAATCGAAAATATTGATCGGCTTAATTTAATTCGAATGTTGCACGTGCATAAATTCTCCAGTTGTTACTTCGGAGATGAGGAGGTTGTCTTTGTCGTGGTCTGTGATCGGTAATAGATCGGTAAGGATGCAGGATTGATTTTTAGTCCTGTTCTACGGGAGGAACGGCAAAACACACACTGAAAAATCGTCATAAAAGCAACAGGGAAATTGATTCATTCCCCAACTCAAAGTGAAATAAAGAAAAAAATTGAACCAGTAAGGGCAGCGAAGATTACGAAGATCGTTTCCGGAGGTCAAAGTGCATTTTTTGTTGATAAATATAACTCTGTCGCGTGAGTGAAGTAGAAAAGTTGTTAAACGATTCAACCGCCCCTGGAAGAAAATTCAATCGTATTTTATGTTTGTAAGTTCTTATGATAAATTATAATTTAAATAATTAAATTTTTTAAATAAGCGTCTTTTAAATAATAATAATTATTGTTTAAAAGACGCTCCATCGTAAGTATGCAGTTGTACGATTGCTAACAACACATCAATATAATAATTATCATAAACCTTATGTATTAATGAGTTTTTAAGTATGTGCAAACCCCGCCAAAAGAATCAAATGTGGAGAGGTTTCGAACGAGTAGAAAAGCGCGCGCCGCGGAGTCCGCACGAGACTAAGGTTAAATTTCCTTCTCAATCACGTAAGTAATTTTAGCATATTGTTATTGTATGTAATTGCGCATGCGAATATTAAAAAAAAAAAAAAAAAAAAAACGCAGAGGAACGTACTTTTTTTACACCCATTATGCACGTCGCGTATAATCACGTTTGATTAATGTATATTAATGTATAGAACAACACGAGTGGGGGTGGGGAAAGAAGAAGGAGGAGAGAGTAGTCGAGTCTCTCCCCTCGGAGAGGCAAAATCTTAAATTGGCGGGCCGATGGCAGTTTCGGAGCTGTCGGAGTCGTCGGAGCAGCGGCGCGAGAGTAATTATAATTGTACGACGAGACGACGACGCGCTTGAGGCGACCACGTGTTTTTTTTGCTGTCCCTTGATTTCTGCTCATCTGTAAAAAAAAAAATAAAAATAAAAAATCTAGTTATCGAACGAATCTTAATTCGTCATAGTTGTCATATTTTCGCGCATCGTCTCCTTATTCGATAAGCGATCGGCCGCGCGTGTCTCATTATTGACAACAGCTTAGGCAACAAAAAAGAAACGAAAAAGGTCCAGAGTAAGATGAAGTATATCCTGGTGACGGGTGGTGTGATAAGCGGCATCGGCAAGGGTGTGATCGCCAGCAGCTTCGGCACCATCCTCAAGTCGTGCGGCATATCCGTCACCTCGATCAAGATCGACCCTTACATCAACATTGACGCCGGCACCTTCTCGCCCTACGAGCACGGCGAGGTCTACGTGCTGGACGACGGCGGCGAGGTCGACCTTGACCTTGGCAACTACGAGAGGTTCCTCGACATTGTCCTCCACAAGGACAACAACATCACCACAGGTGCGTGCGCTGCTGCGATATTAATTTTTTGCTTGTTCCGGTATTGCAGTTCGGTACTTATTTGTTACTTTTTATTTTACTTCATTTTATTATTACTTTTTTTTTTTAATTAAAAGGTCCAACCATTTCTTTTGTTCAGTGAGTGAAAGAAAAATTATAAGAGGGGGTAATTTAATTGCCAAGTGCAAGACTCTTGCGAGGGTGAAGAAGGAATTTGCAAATATAAAATCACGTTATGTCTGTGCCAAGTAATCAGATTTGATATCTTTTGGCTCAGCTGAATTTATGATGATTTGAGTCAATTATTATTTAAATGTCATTTTTATTACATTCAAAACTGGGTAGACTATACATGATCCAAGTATTTCTTTGATAATCGAAGACTACTATTACTGTATTGTTATTAACGAGCGATGTTTAGGAATTCGAAAAACTATATGTATTTCAATTGTTATGCATAGTTATTTATTTATAACTTGGCTCGGTTTCATAACTCAAAGTGTTGTAATTTTTGCAATTTGTTTGAAGCGAACTGATTGATTTTTTAAGGACCTTGAAAAATATTTTTGCATTGATTATGGTTGACAAAGAATTATATTAACTTTGAATGAAGAAAGTTTCACATTATCGATTCTCTAATTTTACAAACTCTGAAATTTATTTTGAAGTAGTCAAGGAATAAGTTATTCATTGACAATATGTCTTATGAATATTTATCAGTTGTTAACACTTCATACGATTTTATAGGCAAAATATATGAGCATGTGATAAAAAAGGAAAGGAAAGGCGATTACCTTGGAAAGACAGTTCAAGTTGTGCCACATATAACAGATGCTATCCAGGAATGGGTTGAAAAAGTATCAAAGCAACCAGTGAATCGAGATGGAAAATTACCAGAAGTCTGTATAATTGAACTTGGTGGTACTATAGGTGACATCGAGGGTATGCCATTTGTGGAAGCTTTTAGGCAATTCCAGTTTAGAGTTAAAAAGGAAAACTTTTGCTGTGCCCACGTTTCACTGGTGCCATCACCAAAATCAACAGGAGAACCAAAAACGAAACCAACGCAATCAAGTGTCAGGGAACTTCGTGGACTTGGTCTTTCTCCAGACTTAATTATTTGTAGATCAGAAAAACCCATTGGGAATAACATAAAAGATAAAATTTCAAACTTCTGTCACGTTGCTCCTGACCAAGTAATTACAATTCATGATCTCTCATCGATTTATAGAGTTCCTTTATTAATGCAAGAGCAAGGTATTGTACAGTACTTGAATGAAAGACTCCAGTTAAGCGTAAGAATGCCACTTCCAATTGATTTTATGAATACCTGGGGAAATCTCGCAGAACGCATCGATCATTTGCGTAAACGTAAGCACTAAAATTTTCCACTCAAACCATTCATTCTAAATAATAATTGTATTTCTTTCACTTTGTTCATGATTTATTATCTATTTCAGCTGTGAATATTGCATTAGTTGGTAAATATACAAAGCTAGAAGATGCATACGCTTCAGTAATCAAGTCACTGCAACACGCATCCATCAAAGTAGGGTACAAATTAAAGTTAACACTCATCGATGCTGCATATTTGGAGTCAGAATCAAAAGAAACTGATCCCGTAGCCTACCACCAAGCGTGGCAGAATCTGTGTAGCAGCGATGGTGTTATAGTACCAGGAGGATTTGGACAGAGAGGAATCACTGGCAAGATAGAGGCTTGCAAGTGGTGCAGAGAACACAATAAGCCTTTGCTGGGCATTTGTTTGGGTCTGCAAACCATAGTAATTGAGTATGCTAGAAATGTGCTTCATCTCAAAGATGCCAACAGCACGGAAATAGATCCAGATACCAAGAATCCCGTAGTTATAGATATGCCCGAGCACAATCAGGGTAACATGGGTGGCACAATGAGATTGGGTCAGAGAGCCACGCGATTTGTTACCACAGTTTCGACGTTACGGCAGCTCTATGGTAATCCAGAAATCATTCAAGAAAGACATAGACATCGCTACGAGGTCAATCCAAAGTACGTTGAAGTGCTGGAAGCTTCAGGTTTGAAGTTCGTTGGTCATGACGAGGAAAACGTACGGATGGAAATTGTCGAGCTGGAAGGCCATGAATACTATATAGCAACACAATTTCATCCCGAGTACTTGTCGAGGCCACTCAAGCCCTCGCCACCGTTTTTAGGTTTAATATTAGCTAGCACAGGAAAATTAAAATCATACTTAGAAAGAGGTTGCAGGCTTACACCTACACAGTTTAGCGACAACGATTCCGATGAGGGATCTTCCACTGAATTTTATTTACAAAATAATCTTTCGGAAGATCTGCTTAAGGCAACCGTAATTTAAAGACAAAGCAATATACTTACGTATAGGAAAGAAAGAATCATTTTATATGACTATTATTTTTTACTTTTTCATAATCTGTCATTGTTAAACTCTTTCTAACAAATTTTTTACTTTTTATTTTGTTTTTTCTTTACATATAGGGCTACTAATGTACTTGTTTAATTAATTTTTGTACATAAAAAATATATAAACTATTTTGTGACTTATATTAAAGTGCGCCCTTGAGCAGTCATAGAAATAAAAAATTGTGACTTTGTATAGTTTCCAAAAACGTATAACTGAATTTATTTTATACTAGTATTTGGGAGTCTCGGAAAAATTTGCTGAGCGTTGGATTGCTCGCATATGCTGAAGCACTGCTTAGGCACTTATTCAATTTTTAATTTAACAGTTATCTGAGTTGGCTCAATCTATGTGAAATAAACTTTGATCAATGAGTATTTTTACCTGTTTGAATTATCTTCCTATACTTAAACCTATTTCTTTCTCATCCTTAAAAATAAACCATCAAATTTTCTAAATAACAAACATTACGAACCGATTGATGCATATGGTCATATGGATTAATGGATCAGAAGTTAATGAAAAAATACTATACACATTCGCTACGTGCACAAGCTGAAAAAGCGATCGCAGCAATACCTGTGCTAATATGTGAAACTATAAACTATATGTTTGTCTTCTGCTAGCAGACTGCTAAGCATTGCTATCATCAGAAAGTTATCGACAACCATTCTAAGGGTTAAATTTTTAATGAAATTATGAGTAGTATGTACATATTTTACTCAGGCATGTTCATCAAAAAACGCAATGAAATACATTGGATACTGTGTATTTCTTAGTTTTTAGCTGGGGCCTGATCCTCTAACATACTGTGCGATACTGTGTGAACACGCCGGTATAGGCTAACGGAGCTCTCTGATTGGTCAGAGGAGGTCTGTGTTGACTACATTGCAAACTAATAAAACATATCTCGTATCACACAGTACACGGACTTGTATTGAAGTAATACTCAAGCGCTTACTTGTGCTTGTAGTACAAATTTTGTCCTTAGTTATTCACATAGGATTGTACCACTTGAGACATTGTATTAATTCGTGATACTTATAATAAACACAGAACCTTTCGTGTATCTATCGAGGTATACTGTGTTCCTATAGATATATCAAGCACATATCGCGAATATTGCCTTCTGCTGTGCCAGACCAATAGTTCTCGTTTTTCCCTCGGTGGCGCTGCTTCAAAATTGTGTAAGTAGCGAATAGAGTTGGAAAAAAAACAGAGATATGGATAACTCACGTCGCGTGTGACAGACCCGACCCGGAGTGTGTTATTTTTTATTATGAATAAAGCCGGAGAAATAAGACGTAGTGTTTCATCAAACATTTATCTGCATGTCACTTAACTAGAACTTTGTTATCGTTTAAAAAATTTTGAGATAAGATAATGAGGGAAAGTGAGAACAAGAAAAAAATAGTCGAGTAAATACTTTAGGTTAAGTGACAGTGTTCAAAAGTTTTGTGAAGAGTAACAATATCAATTATTTTACAACTGAGGTAAAAATTATTTATTCAATGCGAGATGACTACGAGAAATGTAGAACATTTATGGAATGTCACAAATTATTTGAGAAAGTTAGAAGGAAAGGCAGCAAATTCATTCATGACATATTGCATGTAAGTTGATGCGTAAAATTTGTTTTGAATTATATTTTTTCTTGCACGATTGATCAATTCAATAATGTATTGTGTGATACTTTTCAGACAAAAATGTAGACAAACGTTAGCACCAATAGAACCGTTACCAAAGTCCCACTTTGGTTCATCAATCATGTGCTCGTATTGTGGCTCTGTCTGGTCGAAAAATGAAAATCACATAAGAATAGATCCAGGCAGAGCTTGTTCCAAATCAGTCAAACAAATAATTAGAGCCACAACGTATAACTCGGTATCCAGATTTCGTGCAACGTTACTGAAAAAGAGCTTGAAAAATCAAATGAACAAGGTTGTCATCAGGTGCTCTGTTTGCTCGAAAAAAACTGTGATCAATTGTAAAAAGCCAGAAAGGCCAAAGCCAGACATCAAAGAAGTTGATGAGACACTAATGAGTACACCAGGAAACGTTTCTTCTTCACAAAAGAAAAAAAAGAAGAGGAAAAAGAAAGACAAGACTGCTGGCTTGAATATATCAAACAACCAATCGACTCGTATTAGCAAGAAAGGAACAGGAAGTCTTAATTCTACACCAGTGATAAGAATTAAGCAGCAGGAAAGGGAACTGACACCTCTTCAGAGAGTCAGAAAAATAAATTTACACAAGCTGAGTAATCTATTGAATGAAAGCAAAGAAAAGTCAAGAAACAGCATCAGTAGTTTTCTTGAAGAACTTTATTAACTAAGAAAAGTCATCGCATCTTGTGTTCTTATCTACTAATTGTTGTGGTATGTCTCATATTATCTCTTAAAATATAGGTACAGTAAATAAAAATCAAGCTTGATGAGTATCACGTAACTTTAAACGTAGCGGAAATCGGTGAACATAATCCTTTCGTGTTTTTTATTATGCCTCTTTGGTTACATTGGAATCACTTTCAGTGCTGTATGTGTAAATAAATTTTCTTGAATGCATGGTTTTCTACTCCAGTGGAATCTCCTTCCTCACGATCTGAAAGAAATAAGATATAAAATAAAAAATTTCCAAAATAATAGAAAGAAAAACGTGTATAACATTGTTCACAACCAGGACTTGTTTTGCATGCATCTTCAAAGTAACTTTTAATTAACTCATTACAATAAAAAAAAAATGTTAAGTACAATTAAAAAAAACCATCGAGATGAAACTCGATGAGTTATAACAATCACATATAACGTTCATATATATGTATATGTGTGTGGATAATAAAAAAATGTTAAAATCACGTACAATGATTTTCAGAGGGGAAATAAAGAAGGGATCAAGATATGTATGCGCATTGAGCAAGGTAACGTTCGAGAAGAGAGGTCAGGTCACCTGAATGCAGGCGTCGAGGTAATCTTGCTCGGACATTTCCTGGTTCTTAGCGGGCGGGGCTTTTCCCCGACGGCGCAACTCCTGCTTGGCGTCGTTCAAGTTGAAGATCGCCACAGGGTCCAGCCGCCTCTTGAGCACGAGGCCCGCCAGGTACTCAATGTAGTGCTGCCTGCGGGGAAAAGCACACGAGCACCCGTATTTTGGATTAAATAAAAATAATGCCTGTTATCCATGTGAATTACCTCGAGAAGGTCCTGCCGGTAATCGACCGGATCGCGGCCGTACCAGTTTGCTGGTAGCTTCAGGCCGGCCCGCAGGACGCACGTCTCGAGGTCGTCGACGCTTAACAAGGGGATCGGCTCCAGACGAGACGACCGGATCTCGCGCACCAGGTACTCGTTGTAGTGGATCCTGGCTCAACCGATTGTGTGTGTGTTTTTTTTTTTTTTTTTTTTTTTTTTTTTTTCTTCCGATTGCAAGTTATACTTCTTTCTCGTTTATTATCAATGTTGTTACAATTCAGTGATGTAAAATAAACCACGTAATCGATGTTAATGGTTCGTTTTATACATAAACTACCTAGCTCTTTTTCTCAGAGAATCGGTTCGTACATCTTAGTTCCACATGGTTTATTTTAATCGAGCCGTCTATCTATGAAATTAATTTCAACCTCGCAATAAATCGACTCTCATTAAGTAAATAACGATCAAATGACATCCTTTCAAACGAATGGCGTAACATCGCGGCGTATCGAATGTAAAATTCTTGCGAGTAAATCAAAGACCCGACAACATTCCCATCAAGAAAAAAAGAAAAAATATCACCTGCACAGTCCAGCGTGTCCCTCGGGCACGTCGTTGCTGCAAACGGCATCGACAACCCCCGCGGGCGTCTCCTTCTGCAGCTGAACCTTACAACGCCTTGGCCCGTGGGGCCCTTCGGTGTCGTACTCGATGCCGCTCTCCTTGAGCAACTCCTGCAGCTGCGCCGGCTCCTTGTCTCGCAAATAGAACAAACAATTGCGCGGGTGGTGGGCGTGAAGTCCAAGCTTGGCGCAGTAGGCGCTCACCCCGCACTTGGCGCCCATCACGAAGCGCATGCCGCATCCGCAACAGAACTCGTACTTGCATTGGGTGCACGTAAAGTGCATGCAGCCTATATTCGTTTACGATCAATCGTTTCCTTTCAAAATCTTGTTCTTGTGTATACCTACCTCCCCGCGACAGAGAGTACTTGAACTTGCACTTGGGACAGTCGATACCGTTGTCCGCCAGGTGCTTCTCCAAGCCCTTCTCCTGGTTGTCGGGGTCGTTCTCGTCCTTCCACGCGGCGAATTGCTGGCAACTGATACCCTCGTGCTGTTTCTCCCACTGAACCGGAGTGTATGTACCACGATTATTGTCATCTAATCCATCCAATGGATAATAATACATGATTGTTTACTTACCGGTCTCCGGCAAAAGGCGCAAGTGACGGACTTGCAATCCGGGCAGATAAGCCGCTTGTGCTTTGGATCGGCGTAAAAGCCGCTGGAGCACTAGAAAAGAAGAAGAAGAAGAAGAAAAAAAAAACATTGCATATGAATAAACAATCGAGAGTATTTATGTATACTTGTCGTTATTGTCATCACATGTATTGTATGTGCTCACCTGCACGCACCACTTGAAGTTCGGGTCCTGCATGAGGGTGCGATCGCGCAATTTGCGCTGAAAGAGCTCGTGCACGGGCGGATCGAGCAGAGCCTTCAATTGTATGTCGAGGATGCTGAAGTACTCGAGTATGTCGTCCTCGTCGGCGTCCCGTAGATCCGGCTCCTTGCAGAACGGGCACGCGGCGTCGGTTATGCTGCGGTCGCTTATCTGGATCGTGAAGTAATTTTTCGCGCACTCGGTACAGCAGCGGTGCGTGCAGCGCAACATCGACACCATCTACCAGAGTAACGTGTATTATGTGAGTATTTTTGGTCGTAGGGTGTAGTGTTTGCAGGTGAGCGAATTCATTTCGTTTGTAAGTAGTTTCCCCCCCCCCCTCACTTGATTTTAATAAACAAGATCTGGTTTTTAGAATTTTCCGCCGGGTATTTTCGAAAAAGTATCGGTTACCGAAAGACTGCCACTGTTGACGAAACTCGATTTAACATTTATGAAGGATGGCAGTTTTAAAAAAATGTTTATCGAAATCGTAAGTTTGCGGAGGATAAACGTTTTCATGATGATGACGCGTTGATGAATTAACACGCGGTATCAAACCAAGACATCGAGTTGTGCACAACTGTGCCTTGAACCGTCCCGTAATGGACTCGGTTATATCTTCAAAAAATCAGGAATCGCGGGGTAGAAATTTTAATTTAGCGCTGTACGAAAATCCAATTTTGAAAAGTGGGAGCTTAATAATCTCAGGTCGAGCAATAACCGACCCTCTGACCATAATGTATTGCGCAACAGATGAAAGAAACGAAACATTATCACTGCGTATAATGTAATTATGCTTATCAGACTATGGATGAAAATAAACGTAACTCAAGAGGTCGACGCATTATCTCAAGTACCTACGCTCACGGCTCAGCGAAATGATAATGAAACAACGAGCTGTTCGATGGGACGGCAGTGACATTGTGGAGAAAAGTATTGCAAATTAAGCACATTAAAGTTGGGACGCTGAGCAAATTGCAATGATTTTAAATTTAAATTACTATGAAATTCATCCCAAAAACAATTAAATTTTCATTGTAAAACTACGATTAATTTTTTCCCAAACTTTTGAAAAAACGTATAAATAAGGATTATAAACAAAAATCGCAAAAATTTCAACTAATACATCGGCGTCCCAACGTGTAGTTCGGAATCTGCTGTAACTTTTATTCCTTGTACAACGCGCAAAAGGGTTGGTGTGTCAAACTCGACGGCCGACCTGACTCATGGAGAACCTTCCGGTGCAGAGCTCGCATTCCTGCTGTAAGTAAGCGAGCGCGGCCTCGACGCTCGTGCACTGCTTAGCCGCCTGGATTGCCTCCTCATCGTCAAACTTCAAGGACAGAAGGCTCGCGGCCACCTCGGCTTCCTCGTAGCTGGCGGCCCGACCCTCGGCCAACAATCGTCTCGCGACCCTCTGGAATGATAAAACCGTCCAAAACGATTTTTTTCAATCATTTAAAGTACTTCTCGCAGGGTGGGTAGCGTGCTTCGAGTGTGTTTTTTTTTTTTTTTATTGGTAAAATGAGACAAATTTGCACTCAAAATTTTAGGGTGAACAATAATTAAATTGCCAACAGGTGATGGCTTCACAATAGCGTACGTTTATACGTGCATACCTTTTTTTTCTTTGTTATGCAAATTTCTTCTCGAATCGTGGGTTCAAAGCTGTTATCTACATTGATTTTATTTTAACGGCCGTATGAAATAACACACGTTACAATTACAATAGGGTCAAAAAATTGAAATTGAAATTTTTTAAATTACTGATAAATGATATCCTCAAGTACAAAAAGTAATGCGTGATTATGAAGAATGCATGAAGTGGGGGTGGATCATGCGGATGAAATTCTAGCCGTGATTCATACGAGGGACAAAACAACAAAATGCACCAACGTCTATAAGAGAGCTCTTCGCACATTATATTAGATGTATTTCATTTTACAATTGTCAATGACAAACACGTGTTCTTGCTTTGATGCTCAACAAAAATGATTTCAATCTTCATGTATAGGTACACATACTTGTTTAAATTAATATAAGAGAAATCGTTTTCACTTTGTATTTTTCAAGTGATTATGCATTTGTTATACGTGTATGGTGAGCGACGTGAATTAATACGTTAGTGTGACGGAGGTATACTCACCCATTAATGTTATTAATTATATACATCAAATGGTACGGTTACAGATGAGAAATTAATTGTTCAAACACCAAATCGGATGTGTCTTATTTTAGTACAACATAATACACGGGGAAGAAAAAAATCAAAGGGTATATAGCTCAAGTGGTCTTTGATGCTGTGATTGGCGACATTAATATTGTCCTTTGTAAGTAAACATAAGTTCAAAGTTCGTATCACTGCGTTACGTGCACAATCAGGGCAACACTTGGGAGTGTTCAATGAGAAAAGGCTTGCTGTTATTTGTTTGTTTGCAATCGAGCTCTTTTTGTAGACATTGGTCTGCCAATAAATCAGACTTGACAGTGTCGTTATTTAGATTTTTTTTTTGTTTTTTTGTTTACTGACCTCCCGTTCAGTCGTGGGAGCAGATTCCTTACTGTTGCTGCCACTGGGCTCCGCGTTTTTATCCTCATTTTTATTCGGCCGTTTGTACCTCGGTTTCTTTTCAGTTTCGAATTGCTCGATGCAGCTAGCCACGATTGAAAAACGCTTCTGAGGCTTGACGGTTTTTGTTACCACTTGCTTTTCTTCCTCTTCTGTTGATTGCAAAATTTGTTTGCTTGTGACACCAGCAGATGATGACTCATTACCAACCTTAGTGGTTTCTGTTGTATCGTCAGAACTAGTTGATTTTGCAGTTATTTCCAAGTCAGTTTGTTCTGCAACTACTTTGGGAACTTGTTCGTTGTCGTCCTCTTTCAAATCTTCTGCAGCCGATTCGTCATCCGACGTATTGTAGTCCGACAGGTGAGCTTTGATACGGTTCAAAGTTTTTTCAAGCATCTTTTCGACGTTTGATTCGAGATTCGCCGTATCTTCAAATTCTGACGACTCTTCCTCCTTGTCCGCATTAATTTCTTCTTCTTCATCTGAACCACTGTTACTTTCTTCTTCGCTCGTAACTTTCGTTTCTTTACTCGTACTTTGAGAATTCTCGTCGCCTTCCTCTTCTTCTTCGTCCTCGTCATCATCTTCTTCTTCATCTGATTCGTTCGAGTCTTTTGTTTTCAAAAATGTTTGCCTTACAGCCAATTCTTGTACTTCTAGATCGCTTTCTTCCATCTCTGCATCACTTTCTAATTCTTCTTCACTTTCAGTCTCGCTACTTTCTTGTCCTTCTTCTTCGAACTCCATTTCTTCGTCTTTTTCACTTTCTTCATCTCCTTCTTCTTCATCATCTTCTTCTTCTTCTTCACTATGTTCCACCAGTTCTTTTCTACTTATAGATAAAGAAGCTTCGCTTTTACCTTCGTCCACTACATTTGATTCATCTATTGAATCAACACTTTGTTTTATCGGTTCATGACACTTTCCATCCGAAATCGTTCGAGAATTTTTTTCGGTTTTCCTATTGATTTCATGTTTGTTGATTTGTTCAAAGGTCGTCATGCTGATAACTTTTTTTTCTTGAGTTTGATTAGTGATATCATCATTACTTTCCTTTTTTTCAGTTATCTCTACACTTTCAGTTTCAGAGTGCGAGTCAGCCGTACGCGAATCTATTTTCTCTGTCTCTTCTTCATCGTTATTTACGGGTTTTTCAGGGACGTTATTCAATTCTGAAGGTTTCTGATTACTTTCATTATTGTGATTTGTTTGTACTGGTTGTTGTCTCTGAAACTTTTTGAACATACTATTTTTGCAGGTACTGAATGTTGTGTTTGGCTTTATGATTTTAGCATCAAACTGTTTCTGCAAATAAACCGATACAGTTGACGCAGGAATGAATTTAAACCCTTTGAAAACTGGTATTTTCGAGGGGAGGGTCCCCCCTGAAGTTTTATCGTCGAATTTATCGGAGTTATTTTGAACGGCGATGTTTTCGTTGATATTTTCAGTGGGAGTTTTTGCCAAAGGTAGAGATGCAGTTCTTTGCTCAAGTGGCAACTTTTGAATTTGGATTTTACCGTAAGCAACGCCAACCGTTCTTGTTTTAAACTCACTCTTTGAATCATGAGTTTTCGGGATTCTCGTTAAAATTTTGTGTCGTTCCAGTATCATCTTCGACGGTAATCTGCAAATGGGTTTATTTTGAGAGCGCAATATTTTCGGTGGACTTTTAGGTTTCACCGGATTACTTATCAATAGGTTTGGAGCCTTTTTCAAATATTTCACAGGCGATCGTCTTCCAATTATAATTTTTTTCACCGGAGATTTTGGCCGAGGTTTGCCTAATGGTTTTTCGCCTGTTACGTTTGACAAATTACTTTCATTGGATTGTGACTTTGGTTGCACAAGTATTACTTTTTGTACATGAGGCGCGATATCGAACGATTTTTCAGAGCAAATGTCTTCTTTCGTGTCGCTGCATTCACTGTCATAGTTATTATTATCGGGAATGATTACTGAACTATTGCTAACTGGTGGAGCGCTATCTTTGACGGATACCAGAGGTGCTTCGGAAATTTTCAATTCAAACGTTTCGATGGACCCACTTTTCGAATCCTCGTCTTTTACAAAATCAATCGGTTCAAACTGAGATTCAGGCTTTGAAAATCCGTTCATGTCGTTAAAATTGACTACTCGTGGAACAGTACTAAGATTTTGTTCTTCTTTTTTCCACTTATTACTTGAAAATAATTTTACATCAAGTTCATTTTGAATTGGCTTTAGTTCTGTGTCTGCTGTTACCATTTTAGGCTCTAAAAACAGCTCCGAAGACGCAGAAGTTTCTTCAGAGCTCGTAAATGAATACTCGCTTGACTTTGAGTCGGAATTTCGCGTGCACGTTAAAACAGTAAAAACACTAGTCCGTTTTTTATTTTTCGAAAAAGTTTCGTCACTTTTTTCGTCTCGACAACTTTTATTTTTTTTCCTCCCATCGTCAATATTGTTTGATTGATCTGGCATAAATTGATCCAAATTAATCGACCTACCATCAACTGCACTACCTGATTTCAATGATGTCGATTGCATGTTAGGTTGAGTGATGACATTTTTATTATTTTTCGAGCTTAAATTAACGATTGTTGATGAAATGTGCATGAAGTTTTCTGTCGATGATTGATTTAGCGGTGACAAAATTAGTACTGCGTTAGTAGTTACGATTTCTTCCGATGAATTGCACGAGTTGGACGTTTTACTGATGGACGATTCTTCTTCGCTTAATGACAAATTACTGGAAGACGCGTCCCTTTCCAAAGAAGCAATTTCTTCGTACAATTGGTTGGATTTGGTTTTATTCAAAGAGTCAAAACTACCCTCGCGAACTGTACAAAACTCTTCGGACGATGAAGAGACGTCATCCGCCATTTGACTTAACGAATCCTCTATTGGTTCTACTAAGTTCGAGTCGTCAATGGAAACATTATTAATCTGTATAGCAGGAACGGCATCAAGTGCTGAGACGTTATTTTCTGATGATTCTACCACTAAATTTTCTGCGTTTGATATTTGAATGTGAACTGTACTCGTACATACCCCTTTTGGTGACACCATCGGTATTTCTTGATCCACTGCTGGAGATGGCTTCGTCTGCACTTTGAGGAAAGTTGTACAATCTTCTTTTGTAGGTGATACCTTTGCGTTATCATCGTCAATGATTTCAGATGCGATAGCAGTAGTTACAGCTACACTTGAAGTTTCTTCAATTTCTTTTTCAGTAAGCTGATTGGGTTTAGAAATGTCAACAACAGTCTCAAGTTGATTTGTAACTTGCGCTTTTAAAACTTGTGCAGGTGGGAGCTCGGATATCTTCAATTTAATAGCTTCATTTTTCGGCACATTTACAATAGGTAATTTTTCAAGTTTAATCTGCTTGGCTGAATCATTTGAAGCAGGCGTTGTAGCGTCGCCACAATCGATCATTTTTTCGCTTGTGTCCGATCCATCACGTATACTGGTATTATACAAATCTTTGTTACTTTCTAGTTTAGCATTACTATCCTTCGGATCCCTTGTCTGAATACCAGCAATTGCTTCATTTTCTTCGCCTTTCTTGCTCTGTTCTCTAGGATCGTTCGAAACATCATTCATCAAAGCTACATTTAAATTACTTACTGTACTATTTGTACTATTATTTATTTCGATTCCGTTGGCTTCCTCAATCAGAACTTTTGATTTTGTACTTTCAAAAAAGACAATACTTTTTCCCGTTTCTTCTTTATTGTCATTCGACTTTAAAACTAGAGTTTCGAAATTATTGGTGGTATCAAGTGGTGCAGTCACAGGATTCATAACTACTTTTTCTAAAGGTGATGGCTCTACTGAAACTACCGATACATCATTGTTATCTACATTATCTAATATTTGTACAGTTGTGTTATCTTGAGGGACATTTGGAAGGGGTGCCGCTTCTACTTGTATCGCGCTGCTCTTTTTTAGGGAAAGCATTCCTAAGGCGGCTGTTATCTGACCTAAAAGCTGTTCTGGAATCATTTTCATGGCAGACATGAGCTGTTGCACTGCCGCGGGATGCTCCGTTTCGTTTTTCAAACTTTCTAAAAGTTCTTCATGCTCCACACCAGTTTCCACCTCTGAGACTTTTTTCTCGCTGTTCAATTTGCAAGTTTCTTCATTTGTCTCTACACTCTCGAAATTGCCACTGGTACTTGTTGACACATTTGTGCTTTCATGAATCTCAACATCTTTATTTTCATTTTCCGCTGAATAGGCACTTTCAATAGTTTGCGCTTGAGGACCATCGCCGGTTTTCGTAATGCTTTCGCCAGAAATGATTGATTCTCTATTCATTTCGATTTTCGTATTATCATTCAAAGTGTTTATTGTGCTCGCACACTCTTGAATTTTTACGGGATCACTATCGTTTGCAACAACTCCTCGTCTTTCCATTTGAGCGTTTTCTTCCATTGGACTGCGTTTCGTCGATTCCTCCGAATTTTTTGGCTTCTCATCCACACTTTGCAATTGCACATTTTCGTAAAGTCTAGGAACTATAGTCGCATTGTCGGCAACCGTATTACTCGCATTTCCAGTAATTTCGTCATTAACAGATGTATTTATGACTCCATTAAGCTCCAAAACTTCCGCAGAGTCGGTACCTTCAAGTTCCTTGGACTTGGAGGAATCTTCTTTGCCGGAGGATTTGGTCAACTCCCTTTCCAGTCTCTCCGAGGCGCCTTTCAAAATCTCCATCTCCTCTGTAAACTCGGGCGACTGGTTGGCAGCTCGAGCCTTGTCCTGCATCATCTCGCCGATGAGCTGGAGCGCCTCGTCGTGCTCCAAATTGTCGGTAAGCTCGCGCAGAGCGGCCAATTGCCGTTGGAAATCTGTGTGCACGTCGTTGCGCGTGATTATGGGAATTACCTGTTTCCTCGCCTCTCTCTCCTCGTTGGCCGACTCGCTGGCATCCCCATGAGTCTCCGGCGCGGCTACTTCGTCCCTCGCTCTGGCTGAAATTTCACGCGTGTCGTTTAGTGAACTTCCCGGGCAGCCAAGACATCGATACGGCAAACAAAAAAAATGAGAATTTTCGTTTGGAAAACCAAGTGTGTGCACGTGGTTTAAAGTAAATCATGATCGTAACCTCCGAGCGGTGCGGCCTCCTCGTTCTCGACTCCAGCCGGAGGTCCCCAAATCCTCATGAGGAATGGCTTCAGCTGGTCCTTTTGCAACTCCAACAGAGCCGACTCCTCGTTCCCGGCGTTGTTGTCGAGGGCGGCGATGACACTGTTGAGCGTGAATTTTCCCTTGGTCATTATGCTTTGGCACTAAAACGAAAACCCAAAATTTACTTGTAGCCCAGCCAAATGGTACACCCACACAGTAGAAACCTTTCTTTGCCGCAGCTGAATGGCACTGGCAACTGCGATCCACACGTCGCCCTTGGCAAGTCTCAGCACGTCTTTGGACTCGATGGGGGTGAGGGTGCCAATGTCGTTGCCGTCGCCCATGTCCTTGCCCCTCGTGGTCGCGAGGATTTGCACGGTTTCGATAAGGTGGGGCCACTGGTTCTTCAGCCAGTCGAGCGGATTCGCTGGATCCTGGACCAGGGCCACTTGTATGTCGTCGGCCGAATAACCGCGGCGCTCGGCTTCTCGCAACACCTCGACCAGCTCCAAGCCTTGGCGGGTCAAACTCTGCCGCCCCGGATTGACCGTCACTCCGCTGCCACTGCTGTTGCTCATCGTTTCCACGTATCGAGATTGACTCGGTTCCTGAGAAGGAAGAATTTTCGGGTTATCGAGCCGACGTTTTTCATTGATGTCTTAGTCGTCAAAGCATGCCAAAAAAATCCAATCATAAACCAAAGTCATCAGAGTAGAAGCAGCAAATGTCAACGTGCAAACTTAAGCGCAAACGCACATCCACTCATGACAAAGGTGATAAAAGTGAAGATGTCGATGAGAAACGTTTTCAGTTTTTTCTTCACGCATCGTATTAATACACCGGCAAAATGATAACGGCTGTGCTGGGTAGGGAGGCTCTGTTACTAATATAATTGGCGTGGAGTTAATGGCAATGATGACAACCGCACGTGGGACGTACAATAACGTGCGATCGTGTAAGTGAGACACATGGAAGGAGTATATTATAGTCACTAAAAGGAAAGAGAAACGTTTTCATCGCGATGCGTTTTACCCGGGAACGAAAGTAACGATGCGGCGAGGTGAGGGAATTGCGTCTAGTTCTGTCGCGCCTGGGGTTCGACTGCTGCCGACGACTGGACCTGGACCGGCCACCGCCGTAACCTTCGGGGCTGCTTGGAAATCTACCCTCCTAGAACACAAGCTCAATCGAATTCGTAAACTTGACTCGCGACTCTTATCCAGTTTGCGACGAAGTGACGCTTAAAAGTATTACACACATTGCGAGAGTTAATTAATAATTTTGTTAGGGTATATATTATCTAAGTGATGATTTTCGAGCGTCCAAATTGATGAATACTTTGTCCTGCTAACTGATACGTCTGACACTTGCTACTGAATCAAAAATTGCTCGATCTGTCGATAATTGGGTTTATTGTTGAAGTAGCCCATATCGTGACATGAACAGTATAAAGAGACATGTACGTACACACAGATTTTATTATACCATACACATGTTGTATGTCGAATGCTTTTAATCAGTACGTGATGGTGGACATAACGAGGTAATAATAATAATAATAATAATAATATAGTCTTAATGAAGAATTTTTGCAAGGCACCCGATGATTATAGTTATCAACCATAACATACTTCTGAGTCGCTGTCGTCGTATTTTGTCGAGCTTCTCGACGGAGCCAGAGACGCAGCTCTTCGAAACGATTCTTCTCTCTCCTTCAACAGACTCGGGTCCTCGTACGTCTGGAATAATCATCGTTTGCTTGAACAATGTCATTTTCTTCCCTTATAACGTATGTGTATTCATTCACGTTGGGTGTGATGAAAATTGAGGCAATACTTGGAAGACGTATATTGAATAGTTGTGTACGGCACTCACTTGTGTCGAAATGCTCTGTGGGGGTGGCGAGGTACCCGTGGACACGGTGACGCTTTTTACCTCGACATGACGCTCCTCGTTTTTCGTAACCGTTTTTTTTGGCTCCTTCGTTTCCGTCTCCCCGGACTCGGTACTTTGGACCAAAGTCCCCGTGGACGTCGTCGTGTGTTCAACCTGCGGTACTTCCGACTCTTTCATCGGCGACGTACCTCGCGATGTGCTCTGCGTTTGCGACTCCGTGGGGATGGGTTTCGGCTCTTCTACTGTTACCTCGGGAGATTCCGAGATCCGTGGAACATCCGACTGTTCGTCTTCATCGCACGTATTGTATTCTGTAATCAAAAGGTTTTTTTTTTTTTTTTTTTTTTGGGACGTTTTTCGTCAACGTTGCAAATTTTTTCCCAGTGCCATGTATTTTTTTCTTTCCCGCAAGCAATAGTTGAAAGTATATTTGATCACGTTGATTTTGTGAAAATTAAAGAAATCAAATGAGAGACCAAAGTGACAAAAAATAAAATTTACAGATTATCGTTACGAGACTTTTATTTGAAAAAAATAATCTAAAGTGTCATTGTCTGCTGAGAACCTTGAGAAATCAATATATACACTCGTTAGTAAATAAATGTTTACATTTGCATTGGATTTTATTAACTGAAATAGCGGAGTCCAACGAAAGGATAAATGAGTGAGAGAGTGCGGGGGTGGATTCAAAGAGGAAAGGCCAAATGCACGATCGTCCTTGAAACGTTTGCAGCTTGAATGAATAACAGAAAGTTTGAAGGAAAAAAAGCAAGTAAGTACAAGCTCTTCCTGTGAAATTTTTTCAAAGCACGATTTTGCATTTGGTACCACTTGCTTGTATGTGCAATATCAAAACGCCACATAAATGTTTTATTATTCATTCAAGAATACACAATCGGTATGGATGTTTGAAAAAAATGTACTATTGCGTGACAAATGAGTTGCTTATTATTCTAGACTACAAAACAGAGTTAAAAAAAAACTTATTTTCTTTGTTAACCAAAAATAATAAAAATAATAAAAAAAAAACACGAGGCTGCGAAGAGCCTCGCAAGAGTGGCACACGGGATGAAGGCATTGCTACGTAAGTATTGAACACACATAGAATAAGATCGAATGCAATATCGGATGAATGTTTGTTTACTCTCTAGTATCACAGATAATTTGAAAAGAAAAAAAAAATCATTCAAAAGCGAGAAACAACGTAATTAATCATCGTTCTAATTTATCCCCATAATGCCGTCACCCAACAAACCAAATGACAAAAAAAAAACAATGATCAAACTGAACGAGCTAAACAATCGGGCCTCGATCGGTGCGCAGTGTCACTTGGTGAACTTGGTGCCAAAGGAAAAGCTGATCTTTCGTCGGGCTCTACCTTTGGCCGGGGCCTTGGACGAGTCGGGCCCGAGGCCCAGCTTACTAAGACTCTCCGCCAGCTCCTCGTCGTCCTCGTCCCTCGGCGGCGGCAGCGCGCTGCTCTTCGTCTTGCAGCACACCGCGCACACCCTGTCCTTCGCCTCGTTCAGGAACGTACAGTACTCGCACGGCCAATCGCCCTTCGACACCTGAAAATTACATCTCACGTCATCTTGTCCCACAAAAAGGAAAATTCAACAACTTTACCTCGCCGAGTGTTTTGGCAGGTTCCCCGTTTTTCTTGGGCGCGGCCTCGTTGCCGCGCCTCTGGTCGCTCGGAGCCGGCGACATTGGTGGCTTCTTCTCCTGGACTTTGTTCGATCTCTTGTCCGGCGACGCCGATTTTTCCGGCACCCTTGGCGCGCGCTTGTCGTCAGGACTGGGCGACTGCCCCGTTCGTCGTTGCTCGGTAGCCGCGCGATTGCCGTGCCGATCGGGGATCGGTGACTTTGCCGCTCGATTTGTCATGGTCGTGGTGCCGCTCTGCTGCCAGGACCTCTCCGCCGAGCTGATCCTACGAACCGTACCACCATCAAGCGAGAAATCCCCAAAATGCCACCCAGTAAGCCCAAGCGAACCTCTTTGGCTCCACGTTGCCGTCCGACTCGTCAAAGGTCCCCCTGATCGACCCCGACTTCCGCCTGTCGGTCCTTGGATGCTCCAGTTCCTCGGAGTCCGCCCTCTTCGCGATCGCCTCCCTCGGCCTGCGTCCCATGGACCTTGGCAGCGTCCCGCCCCGTTCCACGTGTCGCTCGGGCGGATAGTCGTCGGACGAGCTGGTGGGCTTCTGCCTCGAGCGGCGCCTCTGGTACCCCGCCGGTCCAGCCGAGTCGTCGGTGCTCTGGCCGCTGCGGCCCTGGACGCTACCGGCCCTCGGGTAGCAGGGCAGCGGTCCCGGATCGTCGTCGATCTCGTCCAGGGGTCGGCGAGTCGAGGCGACCGAACGACGGTCTTCCTCGGGGTCGGGACGGACCAGTGGCAGCCCGTTTGCCGGAAAATGCCTGGCGATCCACTGCTCCTCGAGACTGTTTATCTTGTCCTCGGAGCGCCAGCTGTGAGTGTGCGATTGATAAAAAAAAAAAAAAAAAAAAAAAAGTCCCAACCCTCCATCCGATAAAAATGGTGTCAGAAGTGGAACCGAAATGGAACAGTGGTCCACGCTCACCTTCTCCTGCTCCTCGCGAGCTCGTCCTGGTGATTCCTGGCACGGACGTTGTCCCTCCTGTAGGACCTCGAGCTCCTGGACATCCTGTCGTCAAAGTCGGAGTCGCCCGAGTCCTCGGACGAGGCGTCCGAAGGGGAACTCGGCGACCGCCTCCTCCTCGAGCGCGTCGAGGCCGTCGACTTGCGCGACTTGAGACTCGGCGAGGGCGAGGCCGCCTTGGACCTCCGGGACTTGACGCTCCGTGCGGGGCTGTGGCCGCGGGAAACCGGCTGCATGGGGTAGGGCACCACGTGCGGGTAGCCCATCGGGTAGGCCGGCCACATGGTTGGCTGCTGGTTCAGGCTGAGGGTCGAGCCGCCCAGGGCTGCTGGGTTGTCCCAGGGATTAGCCGGGTACCACATCATTGGGCCGCCCAAATGAGCCACCGACTGAGCCTGTTTTGTTCAACGTTGCCGATCATTCGTAGGCACGCGGGGTCGCGTCGCGTTAAGTATACCTGTTGGATGCCCATGGGGTTCCAGACGTTGGCTGAGGTGAGGTCGCAGACGCTGGTCGATTGGACGATGCCCCGGGCTGGGGTGGGTGGTGGTGAGGCCAGACTGTGCCGAAGCCGGGGACTGCTCGTGTCCCTGGCCAGCGTGGCAGCGTCGATCGTTGGCCGGCGCCGGTTCGCGTCCTGGGCTCGCATGGCCTCTTGGTACCTCCGGTATCTCTCCTGCGACAAGTGGACGGGAATCGTGATTTTTCCGGTCCGCTGCGCGATGGGCGTACCTGTACTTGTATGGACGAGCCGATCGGACCTGCAGCGTCGTCATTTTGTCAGTGCCGGTGTTGCCGGTCGCGGCGGCTTCCCGGATGGCCTGGGCTTTGCGGCTCGCCTGCATCAGGACCGCGTCCGAGGGCGGGGGTGGCAGCTGAGACGTCGGCGGCGAGGGCAACGGTCTCGTCAGGGTCGACGTGGAGCCGCGTTTTAGGGTCGAGGATCTACCGCTGTTGGCGTCGAAGTGGGAAAAGTTCGGCTGCTGGTGATGCGGGGATGGCGATGACGATGGTTTACCCTGCGTGGGGCATACGGGCGCGAAACTCGAGTTTTATTAGAGTGGACGGCTCGTCCGATGCACGCTTTTGTGCGCGCACAAGTTTTTTTTTCTTCAACTTGGTGGGTATTTATTTATTTATTTTTTTTTTTTTTTAACTTTTTTTTGTCATTGGTATTGAAATCAATCAAAATGATTTTAAAAAATTTACATTGGCTTAGTTTATCAATAGGTGAAAATTAGTTTTGATCGTAATATATAAAAAATAATGTTGAGAGGAATTATTTTTTGAAGATATTGAGCTTTGAGGTGTATGATAGTGAATGCGGTAAAAATAATGAATGACATTTTACGTTGAATCCTTGGTACATGTATGATTATACATGTATGTATTATACACGTGTTAGCGTGGCAGTAGTAAGTAATGATAAAAGCAATCAAATGTAAAACTTTGAGTAAAACAAAAAATACTGCCTTATTCACTGATGGATGAAAAAAAAAAATTACCCGCGCAACATCAACGTATGCGACGAAACAATACATCAAAATCTTCAAAAAACAGAATTTCCTCCCAAAGAGGAAGGGAAAAACATGTGAGGGAGTTTCAGTGAATACGGCAGATATTTTTTTTTTTTTTTTCTTTCGTAACAGCATTATATATTAAAATCACAACAATTGTAGCGTATACAATGAAAAATATTAGCACATGGATTATATAAATCATTGGTTCATATACATAACAATATGAAATAAATGTCATAACAATTAACAGTAACAATTAATAATCGTATATGAGGGTATATACGGCGACACATGATCACACGTGTGAATGGATGAAAATTTCGGAGTGATTCGTTTTGCCGCCTCGTTATATTTATGGCGACGTAGTAGTAGTGACGTGTAATGGTAACGATACCACAAAGAAGACGCGCGAGGCAAAGCGGTGGAAGCAAGTATACAAGACGAATTGCACAAGAGGAGGAAAAAAAGAAATAGAGAGAAAAACGGGATGTTTCGACTATACCTTTGGGCTGCGGCTACTTTACTCTTTTTTTTTTTTTCTTTTTTTTTTTCTCAGCTAATTTTATGCGCTATAAATACCATTGTACAAATGAGATGCCGAGATTCCTGAAATATCACAAATTTGATCGAACACGCGAGAGAAACAATGACAACGAAAACAACAAAAATCCCTGTTAGTGAGTTATCGGAATAAAGATTTTCTTAATCCGTCGGATTGTCGAGGTTGTCCTTTTAGCATAATATCACAGAGCTAGCAATAATAATAGACATAATAATAATAATAATCATTAGTTTGTATACGTATATAATAATATAATGCAAAGCTGTAGAAATACAATTTAAATGTTAATGATTACAATGAGATTTAGTAACGTAGTTGTATATATTTCTCATCATTTAGTGTAAAAAAAAAAAAAAAAAAAAACATCCTTTTTTTGAAATGGAATGAAACGTGAGTCAGTCATTCAAAAGTTATACCTTAGTAAGTTTTTTTTTTTTTTTTTCTTTCTCTGCACCCAGCCCACACACAGTGAAAACAAGATTATAGAGTAGAAAATAAAGTCTACAAAGAAACAAAAAATCGTTATCGAACAAGTGTTGCGGTGGCAAAAACAAAACAAAAAACGCGAACGAAATAAAAAAAAAAAAAGAATTTGGCACCAGTCTCGTAAGCTCGTTGATCTAGACTCTGGTTGAAAAGCGAGAGAGAGAGAGATATTGTGCGAAAGCGTTTTACAAAGTTTTTTTTTTTTTTTTAATATCTACGGTCCTTCGTTACAAGCAGGACATTGGCATGATACATATGACCAGCACACGCTGCAGGTACAAGAGGATCTACAAAGGTATCTACGTAAATAAAAATGATGCGTGTCCGTGTGAAAACAAAAAAAAAAAAAAAAAAAACTACGAAACATGGAGGAAGAAAAAAAAAAGTCAAACCGCCATACGCAAATGGTAAAACAACCGTACAAACAGCAACAACGTCTAGCACCAAGGCCACGGTGTACAGGTATACACTTAAAAAATAGTCCTGCGAGGGTGCAAGACGCCACCTCCCCTAGAGGACAAGGCAGCCTACCTGGTTACCCCGTCGGTTGCGCCTGGGAGGCGGAACGGGAGGTGGGCCCCTTGTATCGCCCTTGGGGGGCAAGGGTGGCTTGACGGAGGCCCCGTTCTCCTGGACGAGCCGGCGGCGCGCGTGGTTACGGCGTTTCGGGTGCTTGTGGTTTGCCTCGTCGCAACTGTCGCAGAACACGTCGTTGCAGGCGTCGCAGCGCACTGAGCCACGTTCCCGGCCGCACAGCGAACACTTTGGCCGGGGTACCCCCGCTGCCGATGCCCCGTGACCATTGGACATTGATCCTGAGAGAGAGAGAGAGATTAGGTGATGGTACAGGCATTTCTTTTTTTCTTTTTTTTTACCGATCCCAATTTACTCTTACCGGTGTTCATGGTGTTGCTGTAGGTGCCGTTGGAGCTACGCGGCGGGAACTCGATGACCTCGTAGTCCGGGTCCCCGCAGTCGCCCGACAGGGACGGCGGGGGTACCTTTGGTGGCGTTGGCGGCCGATCTGTGACCTGCTGCCGGTCCACCTGCTGTGCCTGCTGTTGACCACACGTTTATCAAATTAGAATTTTTTAAAAAAAAGGCTAAATGGATACATTGGGTTTTGTCACTTTTACGTGAACCACCGGTGCCGTTCTTTGACCCTTTCGTCGCATTTTTCAAGTTAAACTTACAAAACTCCGGACAATTCTTGTACAATACGCCAAAAATTATCAAGCGAATGTGAAAAGTTCTTCGTTCGTACTCACCAAAACCCACTGAGGCATCGTGCGGGTTATCCGAGCGGCCCGCGTCGCTGGATTCGAAATGGCCATCGGCCGCCATCTGTCTGCACCGGAATTCTGCAAGCACAGTTTTTCATAAGGGAAAAAAAAAAAAAAAATTTCCTTTGAATTCTTTGAAGTTTATTTGTTTCCAATATTGTGCGGAGTAGAGTGTTTTCAGCTGAAATACAAACAAACTATTGTACGTACGATTTGTAAACGAAAATTTGTACGAGTTATAAATGTATGTACGGTGGTGCATAAACCCTACGTACCGCGCATAAGTGAAGCGATGCAAAAATAACCGATGGAAGGACGCGCCCGTGTCATACAAAAGCCCCGCTCGACGCGTCGATTTTCAAAAGAGTAGAGTATAGGTATGCCGAGCCCTATACCCGTTCGTCACGCGGACGACTCTTTTATCCTCTCTCTCTCTCTCTCTCTGCCATGCTCCGAAATGTGCAGTGTTTATATTTAAGATAAGTACCTGCACGAGTGGCTATAAGCGCATAACCGGTCGCGAAGCCAGTCTTTTTTACCCCGCGCTGACGCATCAAATCTCTTTTCTTGACTCGTCACTTAGAAGAAAAAAAAAAAAAAAAATCAGATGGTTAAGTGCAAGTACGCAGAGTTTAAGTGAGACCGAATTTTGCGGTCAAAATCCGCTTTCTGGCGCAAGCTCATCGAGGGTGCGGGGAGGAGACGACCGACCGCGGCTTCGGATGGGCTCTGCGGGTCCAGCTATTTCTGGACACTCGCGCGAGAGAGACAGTCTCTTCCTGTTCCTTCTTCGTTGTAGCCGGGCGTGCGAGACACAGTTATATATACACCACACGTGCTAGACACTCTATAGTCACATATATACCGATCTGTAGATGGATCGCTCGCACAAGATCGGCAAATCGGTTGGTAGCCGATTTTTCGGAATTTCGATTTATCGGGGAAATTACGAGGGTTTTTTTTCGTGCCGAAGCATACCTCGGGCACATCAAAAGCTGCGCTACGAAAATATCACACGTGATTCGGCCCGCGCTCTATACGCGACATCTAATTTTACAACGCTATGCCAACCTATCGCCTATGCCATTATATACGCGATTTTTCGCGCTAAAATATCCCCCACGACGCGGCCTATATTGTATCTCGGCACCTGCCATTTTATACATATATGTATACGAGCGACGAACTTCTTATACATATATACGTGTGTGTATACGGATCACAGGGTCGTTTACCCGCTTTTACGCGTGTGTGCACGTGTGTCGCGGATTTAGAATTAATGGTACGGGGTATTTTCGTCGGGCGCTGATATCGTTAAAATATCGGTCAACGACGTTGATCGGCAAACGATGAAATGTACCTACGCGAGTTGCACTGTTTTTCCCAAAATTTTGTTACCCACCCAAAGAGAAGATGAAGCTTGAAACGACGGCTTCTGCCAAACTCGTCTACTGATCTATTTTATTTCAGCTTTTCCGAGCGAGATAAAGAGGAATAACGATCGAGGCCTTAATTTCAAAGATGACGAGGAAAATTGTTTAACTTTTCCATCCACAAAGCTTTGTTTGCCCATTGCCATACGAGGCTACGATTTTTTTTTTTTTTTCATCGAAGAGCTACCGATGCCGCCATAGTTTCGTCGTAAGTAGTATGGATATTTTAGAGTTTCGAGCTAGTTTCGTGAAACAAGATAACTCCAAGTCAAGAATAGACTAGCACGTATATAGTATTCTACACACAATTGTGCGTGTCCCTTTTCAAAATAACTTTCAATCAGGCTGGCTTCGAGTATTTACGTTTTTTTTTTTTTTTTTGAACCTAACCGATTTTCGATAAAATCGAGAATAACAATTGTACACACCGAGTGAATTCGTTACAAAAACCAAATTTTGTTTTCATTGACGTGAATTTATCAAATTCCGAAAAAAAAAAAAAAAAAAAAAAAAAACGTGACGTTTTCCAATTTTCATCTCATGTTGAACTCTTTTTTCAGATAATAAATACCACCGCGCGACGTCTCATTAAAACCACTGCCAACTATTTTACATCGAATGGAAATAGAATTAAGCGACACCCTATTTCCAAAATTTTCAATCGAGACGAATCTCCTATTTCCCGTCTGTACCCTGTTGTTTCGTTAAAATTCAGTTCACCCTCGCTACACCGATAAAATTAATCATAAATTATACACCTCAAAGCACCCTGAAACACCACGTGTGGTTGAACGACGCACGTAAAAAAAAAAAAAAAAAAAACAACCCCTATCACTATTTGTCAGTAACACCAGAGAGAAACCCCCCGAGCGGATGTATATTCATCAACTTGACGATATATACTCACACTCATGTCGGCTTATCAGCGACGGGCCCAGCGGTGGCGGCACCGCGGAGCTCTTCTCTAGGGAGGCCTGTCCTCAGCAGCAACAGTCGCCACAGCGTCGTAGAGAGAGAAAAAAAAAAAAAAAAAAAATAGCTAGCCCGATGGTCAAAGAGAGGAACTTTGAGGAGCGCGCGCGACGCACCGGTAAATGCAACTAGTAAGAATCGCGCGCTCTGCTGTACTGTCCGCTGGACGCACTTCTATCCCTCTCGTTCTTTAGTTCGTATAGCTGGCAAAAGAAAAAAAAAATAATAATAATAAAAATCAAGAGACAGAGACGCTAGGGCTCACGGGGTTATTTTAAGTTGGGAGCGCGCCGCTGCTGTCCCTCTTACCGTACGGCTGGACTCCTGCCACCGATTTTCCCCGATGCTCTCCTCGTTCCCGTAAATATATATGCAGCGACGTCGGCGAGACACTCTGTCTTTCATTTTCTTGCCAACCCGACCATCTCCCGTTTGTTCTTCTTTTTGATATGCATATACTTACTTCAATGCGTGATGGGTGATGCTCTTTGACCGTCGCACGACCCGATCGGTTGGACTTGCCGAGTGACCGGTTTCAGTTTTATATATGTGAAAGACCAACAATCAAAGGTAAACGCTATAGAAGCTGAAGCCGTTCGACACCTATAGAAGCTGAAGTTCAACTTCACGTAGCGAAGCTACAGGTATGCGCACTAGTGCGCAAAGTAACCACTTCGCGCACGGGTTTTTGGACCAATGTCGATGTTCGAACAATCTGTAAAAATCTTTTCTCAGAAATATATACAACTCGTGCAAAGTTGTACGCATGACTTGGGCAAAGTTAAATTAACTTTCCATGCGTGATTATAAGAGCACAACGTACTGTTGTGAATTTTAAGTTCTAAAATAATTAATGCTGCGGATTGTAGCGCTCCGTGACTGTTGTTCATGTCGAGTTCGATCAATGCCGGAAACACTGGCTTCGTATTTTTTTGTATTTCTCCTCCTCTGTTGTAGCTCGAAATTTTACTAGAAATGGTATAGAATCGGATGAGAAACCGGCCGAGGTCTCACTCTACACCTATGTTTTACTTGATTGAATTTTCAACATTTTTCGTACAAAATTTTAGTCGGTTGATGAAAATGGCGGTTACAAAAGAAAAAAAAAAAAAAAAAACACTATTGTCAGTAAAATCTAGTTATTTAATTTTTTCGTATTGGTATTTATTTTTTACGCAGTAACTTTACAAACAAGTTTAAATAGTAAGGTGCCATTAGAATTATTATTATTATTATTATTGTCAATGTTGCAGTTATTGTTATTGGACTCAAATGCAGACATTCATGCCAATAAAAACTGTTAAACTACAGATAAATATAAAAAAAATAATACAATAAAATAATTGAAAATATAACTTTAAAAATGACACTTTACAATTAAAAAATACATTAAATAATCAACTTTTTATTGTAGGGCATTAGATAATTCGATCGGTCCACGAGTCTAAAATCGCTTGGAGCGACGCGTAGGAATCCAATAAGATAAATCGTGCGCAAATAAATCAAATAAAGGATTCAATGGAAATAGAAATATACAACCAGAAATAGAATGGATTGCACCTACGGTGTAAAGCGAAGAGAATCGACGTATGCGTATATGTTATTCAATTGTTGAATTATCTCACGCAACATACGTGTACTTATTTAAACATTTTTCCTACTCAATTTAATTTATGTTTCATTATAAAACATTGATTTGTAAAAGTTAATGATTGCATCGATTTGTTATCGTTAGGTACAGCAAAAAATTGTACACCAACGAAAAAAGGGATCTATTGAAAAAAGAAAGTCCCAACATCAAACTAATTATTAGTTTGTTAAAAAATAAAATAAACTGTCAGAGGAAACTTTGTTACTTTCATACTTACACACACACACGCATACCCAAAGGAGTCGAATGACCCTTAATATCTAATAAATCGATAACCGCAACAAGTTGTTAACGTTATTAACGTTATTTTCATTAATCTCTCGGTTGATAAAATTTTACCGCAAAATTTTAAACCCACTTGTAGCCTCGAGCGTCAGAGGTTGCACGAGTCTGCACGTACAGTAGCGAGCCTCCAAGAGAAGTGAACAGACACCGCGCTCGCGATGCTGATTCGTGGCCGCTAAACCGGTAAATGAAAGGAATCGCAATTGTGGGCAAAAAAGTATATATATATATATATATATATATATATATCTCGGAACACTGTAATGTACTTACGCTACGGTCAAACATGGTGGGAACACCGTTTAATCGATTACTCCTTCGAGGAGCGCTATACGTACCATATGTCTGTAACAAGACGATTTTAAGACACCATGTAAACACACCTTTAAAAAAAGGAGCGGATGGACGGGAAAAGAGAGATAAAAAGAGCGAGACAGACTGTAGGTATCACCATATGTCAAGGTATACGTACGCGGGGTATAGCGAGATAGACAAGAGAGCAAAGTTAAAACGGAGCACAACAGCGGGCGTCTGCACATCTTTCTCGTGTTTATATATGTATATACATTTTTTATAGCAACATAATATAGGCGCGTATGATATGTATATATATATATATGTGCTGTTACTACTATTATAACTATTGCTCACACGCCCCGCGCTCCGGTTTCGGGTTTTTCTTTTTTCCGTACATTGCACTGATTTTTCCTTAGCAGCGTATTTTGTCGTTTCATCTCCAAATACTTGGTTACCGCCTCGACTCCCGTTATTACATTCAATTGTTTATCGATGATTTATTAATATCGTTGTTAATTTTTATCCGTATCCAACCGCTGCTCCTGTTATAATATACACTACGCGAACAAAAGTGAAGTAATATAGACGTGCCTCTCTCGTCACAACATAAGTTTTGTGCGCAGATGTCCGAGTGTTTTGATTATCGACGTGTTTTTTGTTTACACGGATACGATCGTCACCCAAGCTAGCGATCATCATCGATCGTTCGGCCAGCGTGTATTGTACGAAGATTCGCGTCTATTAGCGCAATATATACTTATTAACCAGGTGAGTGGAGGACGTTTTCGGAGCTGACGTGAGCCGTTACTTACTCGCTAAGTGCGTGCATGTGTGTATGTACTTGTACGTATGCGTGTACCCATGCGTGCTTCGCGATTTCGTAACGGAGTGCAAATATGTTGCATGGGTCTTACGTGTGTTGTGGCCCTCGTTTCCGTTAGCTGACAACTGTGAGGATAGGTCGAGATTTTTTTTTTTTTTTTTTTTTTTTAAGTAAAGTACTTGTTTGTTTTATTGTTTTTTTTAATTTTTTTTTTCTATGCTCAGTTTAGAATAAACATTTTCTAGCATGTATTATATAAATATTTTTTTTTTCGCAAATAGATATTAGGAAACAAAAACGGAATTGTTGCGTGGGGCGTAGCCTTTTCTAGTGTGCCAAAAAAAAATCGTTCTTACATAGTACACACATCGAGTGAACAGAAACAAAAGTACTTATAGAATAAAAACGAGTGCAATCTGTAACTTAAACGTGAGTGTGTAAGTATATATATATATATATGTGTGTGTGTGTGTGTGTGTGCGCGCTTCAAACCTCGAACGGTGCCCTGCCCGACTGCCCGGTGGTTGTTCTACTGGTACTAACACACCTATATATTACATACTGAATAAAACGTTGTACTTTCACTCACACACGCGTGTACACGAGGGAACGTAAAAAATGTATGGATCGCACGAGCGGACAGTCAAGCGCGTCGAAGCCGGTCATCGTCGAAATCGTCAATAGTCGAAAGCATCGATCGCACACTTGAGAACAAAATAAATACTGTGCGTTAGAGCCTCGGAGAAAAAATTGTTTTTTTTGTTGTTTTTTTTAATTATTCACATGTACGTACGTATAAGGTGTTGGGGTGTAAAGGTACTTATCACGGGGCTTTTTTTAATGTAAAAAAAATTTAGTTATGTACATCGACAGAATAATACGTAGATAATTTTTTTAATAGATTATGTGTGTGAAAACCCGTACTTATATCTTAACTATAATATATGTATGATGTATATAAAGGTACAGCGTTTACGCGCTAAAATAATTATCGTGTATTACCGTCATGGCAACATCAAGTAAAATTCTTAAGTTTCTGTTGAAATAAATTTTTTGAGTAAAATCTTAGGACCAAAGTACGTGCTTAAAATACGTCCGGTTAAAAACACAATTTCTTGTTGTTTTTTTATAAAAAGTGTTAGTAACAGGAAAGTTGACAGTTTTTTAATAAACAATCTAAAAAATTTAGGTTCAAGAAAGAAAAAAAGTGAAAAATAATTTTTTAACAATAATACTATCAAAAAGGCCCCAGAACCCTAGCTGACGTACCCGTACTAATCACACGTATTTGTACTTTTTTTTTTTAGTAAAATAGCACAGGTACGTTTTGTTTAATAATAGTGAAATAGCTGAAAAATAAACATTTTACTCATTTTTAAATGAAAATTGAAAACTCTTTTGAAAATTTATTTTTGCTACAATTTTATTCGTTTTAAATAGATAACATTTAATTTCGTTAAGATTCGTAACGAAAATAAATAACCACGGATTATCGCGAGTTCCAGTTATCTAGTTCTCGTTTAAAAAAGGTTTGACACGCCTCAAGCGGGTCAACGATTGCATGAACCATAACTAATCATTGCACGCGGGATGATAAAATAAGATACAAGTGTCTTCGATTATCTATATTTTAGAGTGCTGTATTCTTAGTGTGTTACATCATATTAATTTTATCGAAAATTAATTATATCTTCAAGCACAATTTGAAATAAATTTTCAAATAGGTGTTAGTTAAAATAAGTCGAAAAAAATTTTTTTTTTCAAGTGCAATATTTTTCAAGTAATTATAAAAAAAATTGTTTATTAAGATTTTTTTAATGTACCCAAAATATAAATTATTGTTCACTTTTAAGTGATACATCTACAATTTTTTACTCCAATGTCTTATATTTTTATGAGTTTTTCGTTTTGATTTATGTTTATTCGCCTAATCTATTATGACTCAAGTATCGCCTTTCAGAAACACGTCCTACGTCCACCCATTTTCTGTCGAGAAGAATTACAATTTATCAGACTATTTTTTGTCACGTGTTGATACGATAAAAAATTACAAATGTTAATAAGTTGAGAAATTAAAAATATTTTTAAAAAATTTTAGAATATGTAAAAATATAAAAATCAAAAGAAGTTTTTACTAAGAAATAAATGTATGTATAATTTTGTAATGTAACATACAATAAAGCAAAATTAATGCTTGTATCACCCACATTATTTTACGAAAAAAATGTTTGTTACAATATTTGTAGTATAATGGCCACGTCAATATAAATAATATAAGTCGAAACAATGTATTTTAAAATAAAATTTCCTTTCAAATGCAAAAAATAAACTGTTCATAGAATTTATATAATTTCTGAACTTAGGCATCAAGTTATCATATTTTATGATTTGCAATGCAGCATCATATAACATCAATTAAAAAAATTTTAAAAATCTGACTTACATAAGTAAATAAAATACACCTTACATAGCGCTGATCCTAAAAGTAAAATACTACCCCTTGGTACTGTTTACTGTTACAGCAATGATGCAAACTCATACAAGTCAGGTCAATTCTCCAACGAATACTCAATCCTCCGGCAGCGTCAGTATACGATATGATCCTTCATACCTACATACTCTTCCAGGAAGACTCAAAATTACCGAACTGGTGAGTTAATTGCTGAATACAACATATGTATAACAATGACTATTAGGATTTTTCTCAAAATAAGTATTACGCATTTCACCTGATACTAGATTTCAAGTATTTATTGAAATATTATAATTCACATTACTTTAACGGGATTTTTCTCTAAAATAATCGAAATAATGTAAAAAGGAGTTTTTGAAAAATCAGGGTCTGTTTGATTACAGCTACTTTGTTTTATTTGAATATTGTATTGATGAGCTCTTATAAATATTTTGTAAGTTAAATTAACATAAATATTATTCGTTACGTAATTAAAAAAATGTTTTATAACTTAATTTATCAGTATTTGTAAATGCAAGTGTAACAATCAAGAAAACTGGTTGTGGTTTTTAATTATTTTATAAACAAATAAAAATGCTATGTAACATAAGCTATCAATTACTGCAACACTCTTAAACATTATTACAATAGAATGAACCACATTGGTACAATATTTTAAAAATTAAACACTAATGTGTATAAAAAGTTCACTTCTTATTGTATGTTTCAGGTACTGAATGTTGTAGGTTTCATTTTCGTTGTTGCGTCCATTATTAGCCATCACGGTAGGTGTAGTTGGTTCAACACGGTTGCTATGATAGGATTCTGGACTACTGGCATATTGCTTACTTTTTATGTATTTCATATTGTCGAAAAATTCAACAGGATTCCGTGGCTGAAAATCGTAAGAATAATTGATATTTGTTACACGTATGGATAAAACTTTCTAAAATCCCATATTTTTATTGCTATTTAATATATATTGGTTATTTGTTTACTTTGGACAATTAAATCACAAACAACAAAATATTAAAATAATACTACAGTCCTATTGTCTGTTAATAATACTGAATGAACATACTAAGTAAATATTTACCCTGCTGATGATGTAAATCTTAACAGTATATACTTCAACAGTAAAATTACGGAAAAATTTGAGCTATATTCTAAGCTTTGCTGTACTTTCCCGATAAAAATGACTGTAATTGATTTATTGAAACGAAAAGTATACCTATAGATTAAAAAGGTTTTTTTTTTGAATTTCAGGAATTTATTTTTTGCGCTATTGAAACAGTTGGCTACCTGTTGGCCTCTGCCCTTATTGCAGCTTTGGCATCTAGTAGTGAAAGTCTAGGAGTGGCTGCGGTAAGTTGCATCACTAGTTCTTTTAAATACTAATTCATTGATATTATCTAGCTTGATACGTAACTCCGTGTGGGGATCGGGTAACTTTAAACAATAAGAGCGAAGAAGAGATCCTTATGGGTTTTAAATACTAAGTCCGCCAACAATACTAATATAGGCGTATTTCATAAAGTAATGGCGGTTTTTAGGTTTTCTTCGATACTTTACTTTTTTTTTGTTTACCGAATCTCTTATCTTGCTCCGAAAGAGCTACAAAGTAAAATTGCCCTAAGAAAATATTCTTATAAAAAAGCTGTTTGTGCGCTCACTTGAAAAATTTGTCTTTGAAATTTACTAAGTCTCTCTATCCAACATACTTGTAACATGCCGAAAAAATACCTTTTAATGTATTAAAATCATTGGAAAGCTTTACATTGCTTTCGTTTTGTTTTATATTTACAGTTTGTCGGTTTCATATCCATGTGTGTCTATGGCTTCGACTGTTGGGAAAAATTCAAAGCAATGAGAAACGGTGATTGGCCACAGGGACAAAAACCATCGTGTAAACCTGTATCGACAATCAGTAGTTCCACTGCATATTAAAATAATTCTACCTGCATACGCGAGCTTTCGATACACGCTTTTAATAATAATTTCTATTAATGTACTAAAAAAATCAAGGAACATGAAATTTTCAAAAAGTGTAATGATTTTTTTTTGTTTGTGGCAAGGTTCAATGTCATCACTGAAAATATTTTAATGGGAAATGCGCCTTGCCGTTTCAAAAATTGGCTTAAGCCTTAATAATACATTATGTTGATGCAGTATTTAGATTAAGGACTATTTACTGTAGTATGCTTAGTATTTATTAAAAAAATTAATTTTCTACTTGTAACGATTGATTAATCAGCACTTTTACACAACCTTTGCAGGCCATACTACATTCGCAGGTAAACTAGTTTGACTAAATATTTATCGCAGTTGTTTAACACGTTATTCACAAAAACGTGGTTTTAAAAATTATAAAGTTTACATAGATGATTTTTAAGAAAAAATTACCGAATCTTCTGCGTTACGATGGTTCCTATCCCATGGAACACTGTATACTAAAGATGAAATAGATTTCGGCTTCAAACCCAAAACATTTGGTTGTACGTTCAAAAGTATATAAAAAAACCTAAAATTTACTTATGGAGGTAGTATTGGCCACAAAGATATTCTTAAAAAGTTAGTTTATTGACTAACTTGGCAGATTACAAATTATACATTTATATTGTTGAGAATGTATGTAAAATAGAGGTTTATAATATATCTGTATAAAAACTTATTTATAAAAAATATTTATATTTTTATACGCTCAAAACTATTATTAAATAAATCTAATTACTTTACATAAAATACCAATTTACCAGTCCTGGCGTTTATGTATTTTTATTGAAAGAATTGTTTCAAAAACTCTGATTACCGATTGTTGTAAAATTGTAAGTATTAATAACCTCATTCGTTTATAGAGCTTTGTTAATGATTATGAATTTCATAAACATTAAAAATGGAAAAAATGAATGTAAAAAAATTGTTTACTAGAGTGAAATAAAAAAAGTATTACATACATTTTATGGGATTTTATAAATTGTGATTTTAAGAGTACCGTCTGCACACTGATAACAATGTATGCAATGTAATAATAAACCCACGAACAAGAAGATCTAAGATTTTTCTATCTTAAAACTATTAACACTTTTACTGATAGGTATGTACTTTTTGCAGATGGAATTTATGATTTTTTCATCTTTTTTTTTTTTTAATAGAGAAAAATCCGAAACAGAAAGAAAGAAAAAAATAACGAATATAGTAATGCACTATGAATTACACTACACATTGATGTAACCTTCCTCAAGGTTAATGTACACTTTTTATTTCATTAGTGTCACTAGCCGTGAACAGGAATGAGCTGTCGGATTTAAATGATTGTTTGGAGGTTTTGAAGATGATAAGCTCCGTCTCGGTTTTTTAAATGTTTATCATCATTTTTCACAAATACGCTTGTCTTTTGTTACATAAAGAAAAAAACTACATAAAACTATAATGATGATAATTTACTGACACTTTTGATTAGATTGTTGTCTTTGAAATTTGTTTTCAACAAGGATTTTTTTCTAACTAAATGTTTAATCATAAGTCAAATATCAAACGCTTTTTAAGTCAATACATAAGTTGTATGAATGGAATTTACAAAATCTCATGTTTAAAATAATTGTAAAGTTATAACAGTATAGATTTAATGGTTTAAAATTTTTTTACAGCTTAGCTAATCGTGTGACATACCCTTTTTAAAACAAGCAACTTTTTTTTTCATAAATATTTGAAAAATATTTATTTTAATAAGACTATAAATTGTGACACTTTATCTTTACTCGCACTTTTCAACCATCATGTGCCTAATGCTTTGCAGGTGATTTTCAAAATATTTCTGAAAAGGTAGCGTAAGATGTGTATATGTTCATTAATATCATGTTTACTAAGCACAAGTATTTGTATATATTTTATGGTTGAAACTTTATTATTTGAATGTGTTAATAAAAGTAAAAAAATAAAATAAAATGGAAACTATTAAATGAGATTATAATTATAATTATTATTTCTTAAACCTAACACATTTACTTCGATTATTCCACTTACTTATTTCATTAATAGTTTAATTTTTCTCAAATACACAAGTTTTTGTATCATTTAAACTTTACTACATATAAGTAAACTAACAATATTCCAAATTATCAGATACTTGTTATTTTTTATTCAAAAGTTCAAATATAAATAACAGAAGACGATATGTAACATTAATTAGGTAATAAAATGAATAACGAAGCGTTCAGAAGTTGACAGGTAAGGTAATTTGTAAACTCAGACAAATGTAACAATAATGGTCCATGTCAACGTATATTCAATTTTTATTTTTCTTTGTATTTATTACTTTGTCATTTGATTAAGGACTGTAAAAAATTTACTGAAAGAAAACTGTGCGTCTAACGTAAAGTGAAATTACTTTAAAATGTTCACGAAATTTTTGCAGCACATTAAATATTACAATTTAAAACTCAATTAAAAATTATTAGTTGATAATTGTACATATTATTAGAAAATTTTTTAATTGAAAAGTGTTTGGCGGTAATTAAAAAATTTATCAGTGAGTTATTTGATCAAGTTGGCTAAATATCATCAAATTCATCAAAGGATGTCAGATCAAGACAAATCGGAGAACAATAAGTTGGCATTAAAAAAACCCCATCCGTCTTTTATTTTTTATATCACAAAGTTGATTAATCATAGACATTAAAATTCAAAAATTCCAGTTTTCGTATCTTTATAAATGAAGATCCAAATCGATAAACAGATTACAAAGCATTGCTTCATTTATCAATGATGATTAATAAGTTCGTTCAGTACTAAACCCATACTCCTCATTATTACAATTGGTAACTGGTTTTGTAATTCCAATCTGAAATTCCCGGTCACTAAAAATTGAAGAAAAATTTCGAGCCCTACTTGTTGATTATTCTAGCTTTTTTAAAGATTAATTTTAAAAGTCATTAATTTGGTCATGTTAAAGTAGATGATTATCAAAAAATCATCGGAATATGCGAGGATGACAATTTACTTTAAGCTCTAATACGAGTTAAGATGAGCAGCTAGTCAATGTTTCTACGATAAACAAAGGGATTATAACAGAAAAAGTATCCAATTTGATAAAAAGCAGGGTGGGGTGAAAAATAGACAACGTGAAAATATTATACTTAATAACTAAACAGCATTGAATTTTTTAGTTATTTTTAAAATTTATGGGTTTGATGCAGTCTGTGTGTTCAGAGAATAAACTTTATAATAATTTAAACTGATTTAGTTTATCAACAACATAATGTAAAAAATATTAAGAATTTAAGAAATGTTTTTCAATTAACTGATTTATTGATAAGACAGGCAAACAGTTTTGCTCATCACCCTAAATGTACTTAAAAAACATTGCGGTTATAAATAAAAATGTTGATAATTTGAAAATATAATCCAATATTATTCTAAATATAATGATACTGAAAGAGATAACAGTCAAGGAACTATCGAGGGAAATAAATGACAGGTAAAAAATGTATGCTTGTGCTAAAGAAGAAGATGATTGTAAGATAGGTCGAATATAATAAATATCATATAACTTTAATAACTAAACTCAAGTATGTTGTATAAGTTTATGAAATCCTCAAAATATATGAATAAAGTGCGAATCATACCAGTATTATCTAAAAATTATAAAATATTTCAAAAATGTTCAATAAAAGAGGTACTAATATTTTTTCCCAGCAAACATCGACTATTTTTCTTATAAACGTGGTAAAACTACTTTTATTTTTTTGAATTAAAAATAACTGATTCTGTTATCAAGTCACAGCATCAGAATTTAAAGTAAAAAAAAATGGGCCCCGGGGAGTCCCGACAAGCTCGAATGGTGCATTGCATTTCCTTGTATTGACATTCTTATCAAATGATTGCTATATCAACGAGTGCTGCCACGCGCCACTCGAATTTGGCCGGGACTCCCCCTGAAACCAAGTTTTTATTTTCATTACCTTTATTACATGATTGCTTTATTACGTTACCACTAAAAAATACTTGGAGACAAAGATTATATCAAGATTTTTTAATGATTCGTATACACTGCAATCACAATGTCATTTATTATTGTTTTGGTGCGTGCTTGCAATAAAGGTAAAGTAGATCATATACTCAAAAAGTATCAAAGTTATTGAATATCAAGTAAACATATCACGCATAATATACACAGATATGCGTTAATTAAGAAACAACAGTATCTCAAAAAAATATGTAATTAATCAAATTAAAAATATGTCTCAGATGTGCATTGGCTGTTTAATTCTATAAATATATTTAGTTGCGACATATTACTTTTTGTAAGAAAAGTCAGGACGATAAGAAGCTGGAAAGTTCGATTTTTGCAAAACGTGGGTCAGCGTACTGATCGATAATGTCAATTAACCTACTGATTGTAATAAAAGTATACCATAGACGTCGTGCCATTGACGTCGCACTTAATATCAGACTACCATGAATTTTTGTTTAGATTAAGCTTGCTATTTTTGAAATTGTGACTTAATAAGACTTTCACGTGACGCAAATACGTAGGGATAAGCAGAAAATGGCATAAACAAATATAACATTGTTATCGATACAATGTCTGAACTGATAAAAAAGTAAGAAGTGAAGATGAAATATTTGTCTAAAACGAGCAAACTGTGTAAACGCATTTTGCCTGATTACGAGCGGAAGTTACGAAAATAGGGAGAAATTTTACACGGCAAGTTAATAGAGACTGCAAAAAATCAAAGGGTTATGATTTAAATATGAATATGAATAAATGTTATTAAATATACTTGTACACTAATCTATCAACATTTTAATATAATATGTTTAGATTGTGAAAATTTTATGTTTATTACTTAAATCAATGGTTTAATAGTTATTTTACTAACTGTACTAAACTAAATAATTTTTTTTTCTGGTACATTGGGTACTATAAAAGTGCTAAAATTTCTTACTCAGCATATTAAGGAAGTTGTTATTTTATACGAAATTTTCCATGTTTTTTTGCGAAGATATTGTCGATTGTAAAACAATATGTTAGCGATAT